TGGGCCAATTTGAACCAAACTTGCCACAAAGCATCCTTGGGTGAAGGGGATTCAAGTTTGTTCAAATGAAGGGCCATGCCCTCATTCAAGGGGAGATACAGTAAAACTCGGTTAAAGCGAAGTCTTTGGGACCTGTGAATTTAATTCGCTATATCCGTAATTCATTATATCAGTATAATGAATTGGTATAACCATTATAGCGAATTCGCTGTATGCATGTTTTTCTTCAAGTATTACTACCAGCTATGTAAGTGAAGCAAATATTACAAAAAATATCTCCGATAACTAAGGTTTTTTATGAATTGAATCTTATATACTAATGCTATCAGGAAATAAAGTAAGTTCAATTTATCATTATTTTAATAATCTTTGAAAGTTCAAAATAAAAGATGTAAATTTCATTATAATATTTAACCACAACGGGACTTAAAATCAGTTCGGTATATCCGTAAATTTGTTATATCAGAGTTCGTTATAACCTTAAAATTTTACAAAGATTTGTGAAGAATTTTGCCAGGGACCAGAAAAACTTTGCTATATCCATGAATTCGTTATATCCGTGTTCGTACTAAAAGAGTTTTACTGTAATTGGGAATTGATGAAAATTTGGTGGCATTTTTAAAAATCTTCTTCTCAAGAACCACTGTGCCAGGAAAAATGAAACTTATGGGGAAACATCCTCCGGTAATGTAGATTTAAGTTTGTTCAAATCATGAGTAGGGCGGGGCCACAGTGGCCGACCAAAGTTTTACATAGAAATATATAGGAAAATTCTTTAAAAATCTTCTTCTCAAGAATACCAAAGCCATAATTGATCATATGTATTTGTAAGCATCCTCAGGTAGTATAGATTCAAGTTTGTTCAAATCATGACCCCTGGGGGTAGGCGGGGCCACAATGGACAACCAAAGTTTTACATAGAAATTAGTGTTGGCAACGAGTACCCGGTTAACCAGTTAATCGTCGAACGTTGCAATAATCGGTTAGTAAAACTGCTATTTGGTTACTCGGATAAAATAAAATCTACAGAGTAAAGGCATAGAAATTGAATGTTTTATAATTTATATATGTATACTAACTTAACACATTTCCCTAATTTTAGATACCGTTAGAATTGATCTTGTGCATGGTTGTAGTGAATCCAGTTGTTTTGATTAGTTTTCATAGTTTATATAATTGATAGCTTTGATTGCTTGGGGTATACATATTTTGAAGGCCTGAGTTATAATTACCTCATTTGATAATTTAATGAGATGCCGCTGCAGACATAATTAATAAGCTTGGAGTTGTAACAAAAGAACAGCTGATTCAAAATCTGCTAAACCAGCTAAGCTTAAATTTATCAGAAACCAGTGATTTACTGGACACTCCACTTATTACAGTTCTATCAATTATGGAGTATGTGAATAATTATTCTCCTTGATCACGACATATTTCGAGGGCTGGAAAAGAAAGTGTAAAATGGTGATTGACGATGATGTATTTATTTGTCTTTGTGTTTCGAATTCCCTTTAATTTTCTTTATTTTAAAATCGTAAATCTTTGACGATATCGTATGTGTGTATTGTAAATATAATGTCCCTATACAGTATTATTGTACTACTACCGATAAGTATATAATAAAATAATTAATAGATATTGATACTTTTACCAAAAATCATCCGAGTAACCGGGTCCTCAATCGGAAGATGAAGCGAGTAACCGGTTACTAAAAGTTGTCCAATTTGCCACCACTAATAGAAATATATATGAAAAATTCTTTAAAAATCTTCTTCTCAAGAATAGCAAAGCCATAAAAAATTGATTATATTTATATATGGGAGCATCCTCAGGTAGTGTAGATTCAAGTTTGTTCAAATCATGACCCCCGGGGTTAGAGTGGGGCCGCAATGGCCGACGAAAGTTTTACATAGAAATATATAGGAAAAATCTTTAAAAATCTTCTTCTCAAGAATGGCAAAGCTATAATTGATCATATTTATATGGGAGCATCCTCAGGTAGTGTAGATTCAAGTTTGTTCAAATCATGACCCCCGGGGTTAGAGTGGGGCCACAATGGCCGACGAAAGTTTTACATAGAAATATATAGGAAAATTTTTTTAAAAACTTCTCAAGAATAGCAAAGCCATGATTGGTCATGGGACTACTTTTGGATTTAATTATAATTTCAATTTTAAACCAATTCTACTTTTTCCTTGGAACAGTGCTCGGGTGAGCGATGTGGCCCATGGTCCTCTTGTTGTTTATTAAAACAAGTTTTTCTATTCCTTTTCTCTATAATTTAGAGGTTAAAATCTTTTTATCCTTTTTTAAATTAATCTTTTGAAGGAATGCTATTTGATACAGTTTGTCATTCATTATGAATCTGTTTTTTTTACTTCCAGGACACAATGCAGATGACATAGCTGAGACTGTGATTATGAATGGTAAGTTAAACTGTAACATTGAAAAATGAACTATACTACTGTAAAATCATGGAGGTCAAATTTTTGAGATTTTATGAAAATAATTGCTTTGAGTGGACGGTGAATATGATTTCTTGGTAAAGGAGAAACATTATACTGCAGTATGCAGCTTTCACATTTTGTACATGAATTCTTGGTTTTTTCTCATACCATGAAATAAGAACAGAAGTTAAAATCCCTCAAAAATGAGTGATTTCACAGCAAGATGTTTGGAAATTTGTCAGTTACTATTTGATTGAAATATTTCAATGCAATACACTTATTTTACATTTCTATGTATGTTTGAAATGCTGATTCTATATTTTGGTTACTTGTACAATGTATAATTGATGTGCCTGTAAAAACAGAACAGAGATTTCATAATAGCATGAATTTTTTAATTTGTGTGATAAATTTCATCATTGTATAATTTTCAGTACTGAGAGGTGACATTGGAAGATTACAGAGGTGTACAGCAATCACCACGGTAACAAAATAAACAGTGTCAGATGTCAATTACATGTACACAAAACATAAAATAATTAAGAAATAAAGTCCGCGTTTTCGTGAATGTTGCAGAATAACCTCCGAGGTCTCGAAATGTTGTTTGAAATATAAAAGCCGAGGCGTTAGCCGAGGCTTTTATATATTTCAAACAACATTTCGAGACCTCGGAGGTTATTCTGCAACATTGACGAAAACGCGGACTTTATTTTTATTCTACCAAGGACGATAAATACGGCCGATTGTTTCCTCTATAGAGAAACGAATTAGGTCACCATGTCTCGATTACGCTGTTCTATTTAACACCAGAGAGAAATTTTGTTGACTTACCTATATATGGAATGCAGATATTTGAGCCTTCCTTGCATTAAAAACAGTCTTGTTTAATTACAAATTTGTTCGTAATATGTATTGATCAGTTAAAATGAATATACAAAAACAAAATCATGTTCTTGTTTTACTGCTAAAATCACGTTGTTTAATGTGTAGGGAGGTCCGTGGAATAGCCCCGCTTAGCTATAAAAACCGACATTCATCAGCAACTTGATGCAATTTACGGTGTTTATACTGCAAAAGACGACACATCGATGCGGTCTAATCAAGTATTTCATTCTACAGCCAAACATGCATTTGAATTGTTCAGATTTGATACATGTTTCTGATCTGATAATTTTTTGATGACGTTCGTTGTCTATTGGAGAATAATGTCCCGCGGCTTCCTTTGAAGATTTCAATAACCGTGGTAGAATGGAGAATAATGTCCCACGGCTTCCTTTGAAGATTTCAATAACCGTGGTAGAATTTTTTATAAATCTGGCCTGTGCTCAAGATCATGGTGACTACCTAGCATTTCATATATACCTACTACAATCTTGAATGAAATGCTAACTTGACCATAACAAGGGTTGAACAATAAATAATTGAATTCAGGAATTTGAAGAACTGAACAAGATAATTTCAAAACGATTTTTTTTTCAAACAGGGTACTGAGGGAGCCCTCCCCAGAAGTAAACCATTCAAGTATACATACGAAAAAGAGATTGTCATGTAAGTCATTCTTCTATATCTTCAACATGGTTCTAAATCACAATTTTTTGATACCTGAGTGAAGAGAACTTTTAGTACATTTAGAGAAACAGACAATATACATGTAATTTATTTCCTTTGACTAGGTATGCCTACTTTAAGAAACTGGATTACTTCTCCACGGAGTGTATATACTCACCCAATGCTTATAGGTAAGACTCTTCTATGTCTTTCGAAATGAATTAATATATCATTTTTAATTTTTGAATGTACAGTCAAACTTGTCTTAGCGGCCACCCGAAATCAACGGCCACTCCCGGTCAGCGGCCACTTTCAGTTCCCCCCGACGACTTTTACTATAAATTTTAACTGGAATAAACGGCCACCTGTGTAACGCGGCCAGCGACCACTCAAATCATCACCCACAGCCTTATGGACACTGAAATAAGCGGCCATTTCGTCACTTGTTGCAATCCTATCACGTCTTTTTAAAACATTCGCTTGGGTAATTATATGCTCGATAGTCAATTTGACCTATTAAAGAAATCAAACAAATTACTTCTAGATACGCTGAACTTTGTTTGTGTTAATCAAAAAAATTTATTTCTCCTGTTAGACCATTTTGTAATTATTTTTTAAGATGAAAGTTTAAAAGAATTTAATTACAATTAATATTTTTTCAGAGCTAAAGAAAGTCAATCTTAAAGATAATAGTTCTACTAGATTTTGTACTTTTCGATATTAATTCATCATTACCTTGAATGTTTACTGAGAGTATGTGACCTAATACAGGGCTATCGATATTTTCACACCTTTTAGATTTTGATTCCATGTAGAAACCCTAATTGCTACTCTTGTGAAAACAAAGTGCATGATTATCTCGTGAATTTCACTCTCAAGAGACGATAGGGATTAGTTAAGCTCTACTGCACAGGACACCTGTGTTGTAGAATGATTTTCAACTGCGTAAATACACCTCTGTGGTCAACTGGTTAATCTTATTTGTGTGTCTATCTATATTACATAGAAATTCTGACAGCTATATATAAAAACAAAGACCAGACTTTAAAAACTCCAGCAAGTAGGGTAATCGCCGATTAATTAAAGGGGGGGGGGTTACACTGCTGAACATTACTTGAACTTACTCAAATAAATGTCTAGACTTTGTTTTATTTACAACTAAACTATCTTTTTATTTAAGTGTGTGTTATTTTTTTTTAAATAAAAAAGAGATAATAGTAAAGCACATATATTTCTTCAAATGCTAATTAAAAGAGTTTACTTAATATTTCAATGTAAAAAAAATCACACTGAAGAATGTATGACTTTTAACTGATATGTAGGAACAGAAACATGCACAAACCTTAATAATTTGGAATTATTTAATTCTTTTTTTTTTTGAGCATGAATTAATATATATACACCTAAAAAACTTTTGTGAAATTTACCTGTTAAATTATCTAATTAATCAATTTAAGAGTAGTGCTTAATGTTGATTATTTATTGGCCGACTGGCTATTTCCAGGGCAAACTGGAATAAGAGGCCACCTGTCTTAAGTGGCCAGTTTCCAGACTTCCCAAAGGTGGCCTCTTAAAACAGGTTTGACTGTAACTTTTCTATTATTTCGTTTTTTCCTTATATAGGGGATTTGCTAGGGCTTACATAAAAGACTTGGAAAAAATCCGACCTAGTGCAATAATTGGTAGGTCAAAATCTCATACATACAATTTCAAAAAGATATTATTGTAAAAAGTAGCAATGCATATGAAAGTGTCATTTGGGCACCAATTACATTTAATATGTAAAACAATAATATCTCTTGCATGCCTTGAGTGTATTCTGACTACCAAACAAATAAATCAATTTCAATTTTATATTATTTTTATGAATTAGCATTAGAAGATAGATTGTCTCAAAAGTGATGCATGTATACATAATTTCAGACATTATTCACTCTGGGGAGAGTTTGTCAGTGAAGAAAGCAGTGAAGCTTCCAGTACAAGGTACCTCTTTCTAGTGAATGTTAAGTGTTTACATGCATAAAGAGAATTAATACATATATGAAATTGGATAAATAAACATGCTCATTCATAATTAGAATGTATGCTTTTGGTGGAATTTAAGGTAAACTGAATCACTTGGGTGACATATTAATATCCCTTTTTGTCCATACATTTTACATCGTGCTATGGTTGGTGCATTGGAAGTTTGCTTTGAACATTTCAACCTCTGGAACCACTCAACTAATTTCAACCAAATTTGTCATGTAGCATCAATAGGTAGAGGGATACAAAGATGATGAATTTCAAGATCCTAGCCCTCTTAGGGTGTTAGGAATAGGGTTCTATCTATTCCAGCATGCCAGAGGTTCACAGGGAGATATTTACTTCTATACATCAAACAATTAGAAGGCTGCCTCTTCCAGTAATTTAGATTTCGTGGCACCTTGTTCAGGCCATTGTTGTATTTCTATTGAATGCTGGTCATATATCAATATTTTATTTTCGTTGGCTTGAACTTTTTAAATATTTTATTTCTGTTGACAGGTACTTGTGAGAGGTGTGGCTATATCTCCAGTAATCCCCTGTGTAAGGCCTGTATTCTATTGGAGGGACTTAACAGAGGACTGCCAAGGTATACACTTATTAATTTAGTAAATGTGTATGTTATTACAATATATTAAAAATAGTTTGAAATGTTTAGATAGAGTGTATATTTGGAAGTATTTTGAATGGCCATTGCTATTTTCATTCACAGACTTGGAATTGGGAAAAGTCACAAAGAGAGACGTAAGGTTAGTGTTTTTTCTGTAAACATGGATAAGTTCTTTTTTATGTAAAATGTTTTGCAAAAAATATGAAAAATGGTATTCATGTTCCAAACATTTTTTTTTAATGTTCAACTTTATAGTGAAACTTTTTTTTTTTGGAAGTTTTTTATTTTAAAATGTACACAACAATATTCAATTAAAGTTTTCCTATGCATGGCTTATTGTTTAAGAGGAATAAATTAAAAATTTTATTTTCATATTTAGCTGAATGAAATGTTGGCCCAGAAGACGGAAGCTAATGACATTGGTACAAATACAGACACTTCTAAAGAGACCACTGATGATGCATCAGGAACACTAGCAACAGAGAGCTCAGAATCACAAAACACACAGAAAAAATGTGAAAACTGTTCATGTGGTAGTGGTTGTTTGTCAGAAAAACTAGAGAAAGTTCAGCTGGACAGAAGAAAAATAGAGCCAGCTATGATAGATTTCTGATATATGGGATTACTTAGATGGATTGAAATGCAGTTGATGTTTTTCTCAGTTCAAGTACAGAAAAAAGCCTACAAGATTACTGTAAAACATGTTTATAGCAAACTACAGGAAAGTGATTTTTATTCCCTATAAAACACATTGTAAACTTAAGTCAACCTAATTTTATTAATACATATTGCAAATCCCTGGTACATGTACTTTGTTTTACGCATGTTTTCCCATATTTCTGTTCATATTTCTAGCCAATGAAATTAAATGTAGCTAAAGATTAGAATTAAATGTAGGAAATTAAAAACATTAAACACTGCATTTGAAAGTCTTTCATAGCTATTTAGATTGACATTTGCTAGTGTCATATTGCTTTATATAACAATCATCTACCAGGTTTTTAGAATATAAATATTTTGCAAAATTGTCTTTTAGGGCTTCCTTCTGTAAATTTCTACTGTATTTATTATTTCAGATATAATAAAATGTGATTAATAAATGTATTTTCATTACTTTATACTGTTTAGGTCAAATAAAATAACTGAAAGTTAACAGTCTACTCAATATATTTTTACATAGCTCTGAATCACAGGCACCTAACGTTACTTATTTTTCTTTTAATGAAATAAAAGTTTTTTTATAACGCCTTCAATCAAGGGGAGATAATGGGGTATTAATGAAAATTTGTTGGTATATTTTTTAAAATCTTCTCAAAAACCACTGGGCCAGGAAAGATGAAACTTATGGGGAAACATCCTCAGGTAGTGTAGATTCAATTTTGTTCAAATCATGATCCCCAGGGGTAGGGCAGGGCCAAAATGGCCGACTCAAGTTTTATATATAAATATATAGAAAAATTCTTTAAAAATCTTCTGATGAAGAATGACCAAGCCATAATTCATCATATTTTTATTGAAGCATGCTCAGGTAGTGTAGATTCAAGTTTGTTCAAATCATGACTTCCGGTGGTAGGGCGGGGCCAAACTGACCGACTTAAGTTTTACATAGAAATATATAGGAAAATTCTTTAAAAATCTTCTTCTGGAGAATAACAAAGTCATGATTGGTCATATTTATATGAAAGCATCTTCAAGTAGTGTAAATGCAAGTTTGTTCAAATCATGACCCCAGGGGGTAGGGCAGGGTTGTGACCAATTATGGCTTTGCTATTTACTGAGAAGGAGATTTTAAAAGAATTTTACATTTTCTACGTTGAACTTTGGCCGGCCATAGTGACCCCACCCAACAGGGGTCATGATTTGAAACTTGAATCTACACTACCTGGGGATGCTTCCACATGAGATGCATCTTTCCTGGCCCATTAGTTCTTGAGAAAAAAAAATTTAAATGCCATTAATTTTTTCACTTATTCTTAATTATCTCCCCTTGGAAGATGGCTTGGCCATTCGCTTCGTTTGAACGAACTTGAATCCCCTGCACCTGAGGATAATTTGTGGCAAGTTTGGTTGAAATTGGCCCAGTGGTTCTTGAGAAGAAGATGAAAATGTGAAAAGTTTACAGACAGACAGACAGCTAGACAGACGAACGCCGGACAAAATGTGATCAGAAAAGTTCACTTGAGCTTCCAGCTCAGGTGAATTAAAAGTAAAAATCTACAGTTTTAAAGTATAATCTTGTATTAGTCTGTTGACTTAAATAAATGAACTAAACAATGATTTCTATCACATAATCCACAGTTTTTACACAATGTATAAACAACAAACTGTCCCTTATGGAATATTTATCATAGTGCCAAAATGTAAAGTTCATACAATTCTCAACAATGAGGAATGCTTAATGCCTGTAAATGTAGCACTAGAGTCAGACTATGAAATTTAGATATTACACTATTCTACTCCACTGACCAAAAATTGTTATAACACTGCTGCGTTAATGAAATTGTACATGTAACACCATACCAGTGGGTGTAAATTTGAAAAAAAAAATTAAACGGAATTACAGGCCTTAATTAAAAAATAAACAAAAAGTTTGAGTGTTATTATCATATTTTGGAGAAAAAAATAATATTTTAAATATAAGTATTTGGTTTATAACATTTTAATGTATTTGATTTTCTTCACTTTACCGCTTTTTTAGCTCAGTCACAAAAATATATCCTTTGGAATCTACACACAAACCCTGTGGACTCTGAAGATTGCAGTTATTTATGTAACGGAGGAACTGTCCATCTCTATCTAGGACGTGGATGTAACTTCTATGTTCCACTGTTTCAATGGATAACTTTGTCATGGAACCGAATTATTGACAAACAATATCCTTGTGGACTGGTTGCGCAGAAAACTTGGGTAATGAAGCTTTGAGCTTTGGCGGATATCTTCTAAATATTACGCGTTTCTAGGCTGGTATGAGAAAATAAGGGACTTATCCTTGTTTTTTTTTTTTTTTAGAATTTTCTACATGTCAGTAATGCTCTTTTTCACAGCAGAATTTTTCTTAATGATTTCCTCTTTCTGCTTAGTAAAGGCTGTCAGGTGTTTCTTTTTCAGGACAGCAATTTCGGCATTTATATTCTTCACAATGGTTTCAATTTCTCTGCGCCACTCATCTCCTTGAGTAGTAATTGTTGAAGTCAGCTTCTCATTTTTTATATTTTATACATGTAAGAGTAAGATTTAGTGCACAAATTTACATAATGAATATGCTTTATGTTTAGCTGATCAGTAGGACTGCAATTGATTGATTAAAAAAATAGAAAATAATCTTTCCGGCACAGTATCTATATCAGATTTACCACAAAAACGTTAAAGTGAACTGAAATGTATTAAAGCTATTGTACGTAAGAATTTGTCATGCTTACCAATTAATCCAACATGGCCGCCACCAATTCATGTATAGTGACCAGTTAATTTACTTCTTTCTTTGTTCAAATAATTGTTATTTTGTCTTTTCAGGATGTTTTAAATGTATATACAGTCAAGTAATTCTCTGTTCTTAGATGTTAATGATTTAAATGCCTACTAAGACATTAAGCTTGTTTTCTTACACAATTTAAATGTCGAGATATACTATATGATGTATTTTGTCTACACACTGAAAGTTATATAGGAACTTGTAGAAGCTTAGTAATAGCCCCAAACACCCTCTATTAATTATGTTTAGGAAATTATGTTATGTTCTCTGAATTCGAGTTGTTTTAAACTCGCCCAGCTTTAAAAATGGCGACAATTTCCCTAGCTGTATACAGTAACTTGCAGATTCCCCCTTCTTCACGTACTAAATAATTATTTCTTAACAAAAGAGTTCTGCCATTATAATTTTTTGATTTGGTATGTATTCAAATGTTCCAACCCTTCTCTTGACAAATGTCCTTCAAGAACTTTACACGGCAACTTGCTATAAACGTTACTATTATAGTGTATATGTGACAGAGTGGTTTTTAATAAATAAATGATTAATAAAGAATATTTATTTATCTCAAAGTTTTTTTTATAGATATCATTATCATCATTGCACTTTGCATGTTCAATACTAATTCTTACTGGCTGACCTTTTTGACCTTTGACATTACGAGTTACGTAGTTTTATTTGCCAAGGGTTTGGCGGTAAGTTTTCTATTGTTCGATGTGATGTGCGGGGGCACTTCCTTCTCGCACGGACAGCCAACGTTACCGGCTGTGAGATTTGTCTCGACCATATTTGGGCTTTACTACATTTCAAGATTATTACATACATTGAGTATTTGAATACAGACACACACAGCAAGTTTTATCTATTTTTCTACTTTTATCTTTCTATCTTTACGTAACATAATTTCTTTGATTGAAAGAGAGAACGAGTGAAGTTTTGAAATAAAGTTCATTGTCTCTTGTAAAGTAGTATTTTTCAGTAATCATATTGATTATAAGCAACACTGGATGTATATGTTGTAAATTGTACAGTTTTATTATTTTTAAGATCAGCTAAAATATTGTTTTGAGATTACGACCGAACCTGTGATTGTTGTTTTTATATAGGTTCTGTATAGATATAATATCCGAGCCAGCATTTTTGTTAGTGCTCAGCCTGATTCCATAGATTGGTACGCTATAGGAATTATTACTTGT